CCGCCCTGGGCGCCCCCGCCTGCCAGCATGGCGAACACCCGCCTCCTGCACGGGCCTCCCTCGGTCCCCCGGGGAGGAGCCCAGGACCCCGTGGGTTTGGGATGGATGGGTCCCTGGACATGGCCACCAGGGAGTCTTCCAGAAACCCAGGGGTCCCAGCCCCCGGTTGCCAGGCCCCTCTTGAGGTGGGGTCAGGCAGGCTGGGTCCCAGCCGTGTGGCCTTGGAAAGTCAGCCACCATCCTACCATCCCTCGTGGGGCTCAAACGGGGACGCCCTGGCCCTGTGGCCTCCTGGTCCCCTGCAGGGTGGCCCCAGGGAGGGCGGGCTGGCCGCCAGGTGTCCCAGCGCCCCCATGCCCACAGGCGGCCATCCGTGGCGAGCAGTGGACCCCCATCGAGCCCAAGCCCAAGGAGCGGCCACAGGTCGGAGGCACCATCAAGCAGCCACCCAGCAACCCCCCGCCCCGGCCCCCGGCCGAGGCCCGCAAGAAGCCGAGCGAGGAAGAGGAGGCGGCGGCGGGCCCCTCGGGAGGCCCCCAGGTCAATCCCATCCCTGTGACCGATGAGGTCGTGTGACCCGCAGGGGCCCCGGCTCTCTGGCCTGCGCTCCCCCGCGCGGCCAGCAGAGGGCGCTCACCCTCAATAAACGCAGAGAACCGTGGCGCGCGTGCGGCTCTTCCTGGGGGTCCCTGCATCCGCCCCTGACCCCGCTGGCATCCCTTCCTGCCTGTGGGACCACGTGTCGCATCTTGGGCTCCTCCCCCAGGGCCTGCTTGGTGGCATGCGGGTTCTGGCGGCCTACCACAGAAGTCACCCTGGCCTGGGAGGGGCGCCATGGCCCCCCGCCGCCAGGACGCCCCTTGCGACAGCTCTGATGCCCTCCAGAGGGGCTGGGCTCCCGTGGTGTCCCTCAGGACTCTGTGAAGAGGGAAGGTGGGTGGCGGGCGTCTCCAAGGCAGAAGCTCAGCTGGGCCCCTCTCTGCCCCCCACCCTGCTGCTGGGGGTGGGGCGGCCCCAGAAGGCGAGACCGAATGACTGGGACCTCCACACTGGCGCTGAGCCTGGGGCCCACATGCTCACGGGCAGCTCTCTGGTCCTCCCTGCAGGAGTCATGCACCCTCCCCGCTCACTGTAAGTCCCCACTCCTGTCTGCCCACCTCCTCTGACCCACAGACCCCCTGTGGCAGACGTCTAAGCCCAGCCCTGCCCTGTCCAAGGGTGATGCTGGTCTTCTGGGAGGTCAGCAAAACCCCGGCACCCTCCACCCCCAGGCCCCGCTCCAGTCCCGGCTCCGGCATGGACCCCGACTCCAGCCACCAGCCCCTCCCACCCCAGGCCGTGCCCCATGCTCCCGGCCCAGAACCCACAAGCTCTGGGGTCCCAGGACAGGCTGCACCCTGGCTCCAGCTGGGACCTCACTGTCAGTCCCCCTCCTCGTCCACCTGGCTTCAGCCTCGCTGGCCTCTGACCCCAGACATGCCAGGCACGCGTCTCCTCGGGGCCCTGGCACGGGCTGTTCTACTGCCTGGAACACTGTTCCCAGGGTGTCTGTGGGGGCTGATGTCCTGAGGGGCCTCCCAGCCTCTGGGTGGAATGGCAGTCCCAGTCTCTGCTGCAGCCACCCAGCACAGACTAAATGGGGAAGGAGGGGCCTGTCTGCTTGGTTGTCAGCCCTGTTCCCAGGGCCTGGCACACAGTAGAAACGCTGTAAATGTGTTTTCAGTCCCGGGGCACCCCTTCCAGGAAGCCTTTCCCGAGGCTGCCTCCACCTGGCTGTGAGGCTCTGTTCTCCGGGGCAGCTCCCTGCTGCCCCTGCCTTGGTCAGCAGGTGGATGGCAGGTCAGGAGGGGAGGGGCTGACACCCACCCGGGGGTTCCCCACCCCGCGCCATCAGCCCCTAGCTGGGGCCCGGAGGCTGCCCCAGGCCTGGGCCCTTTGCCTCCAGCGGAAGCTGCTCACTTGGCGTCCCTTAACCAATCGCCCTGCCCCTGTGGTGGCTATTGACGGAGGCCCTGAGCCCACCTGGGGATGGACCCCAAAGATTCCTGTCCTTGGTCAGAGATGGCCCCCGGGGCCCAGTCGAGACGAGGGTTCGGGGCTGGGGGACTGTCTCCAGGACACCTGTGCAGCCGTGCTCTCACCCGCCCGCCCGTCCTGCACGCACCCGCTCCCGCCTGCATGGAGCCTTCTGGAAGGACACATGGGACCTGGGCGGGGCTGGGGAGACAGAGTCAGAATGCCCACCTCGGATGTGCAGTCATTTTAATAACACACGTGTGTTCAGAATAAATAACTTAAGAAAATGGGGCTTCCTTCCTGGGGCCGGCAGGGGATGTGGGGCGGGGGGA